ACACGCCGTAATAAAGCCATTAAGAATGGAATTCCGCGAAGCCGCTCTTAAATTTGCAGAGCCGCGAAAGAGAAGAGGAAGAAGAAAGAGAGTTATAAAGCTGGTGCAGGTGCGTTCTGTCGTCCTCGGGGATGGCGAATTACTATTGGAGAACGGCATTCCTCCGTCAAGACCACCCCCGCTCCATCCATTTCCATTCTCTTTTCTTTCTCGTCATACTCCGATCGTACTTCTGCAACGGATTTCTGCTTTTTTTAAGAATCTCAGTTTTTTCGTCTCTTTCAGGCTTTACTCTTCTCTCTTACTCTTCTTGCTACTCCGCGTAGCGTCCTCGTAGTCCTGTGCAACGTTATCCGAATCTTTTATTTCCTTGTACACCCCATTCGCATACGCGCAGCTTCTTCCCACGTTTCATCTCGGGAAGATGTTTTTCTGCGATTTTTCCGGATTTGATTTTCTTCCTTTTCTCTCGCTCCATGACTGTTTCTACGTGGTTCTCGAGTTCGTTCGCGTAATTCCATGTTCTCCGGGTCTTCTACCTTCGTTTCGAGGCTTCGGTATGATTCTGTCCATAGATCTTTCTAGAAGTTGGTCGCATACTTCGCCTTACCTTGCCTCGCCGTTGTTCTCTTTCCGATGCCTACTTCGTTCCATCTTTCCCTCAGGACTGCTTCTCATTCTAGCGGCATTTTGTTCTTGCTCGTGTTTCCTCGTCTCCCTCTTCCTTCTCTTGGCCTCCCTCCCTATTCATTTTCGGCTCCTTTCCTCTTTAACGTCCTCTCCTGCCTTTCTTTTCATTCTACTTCCACGTCTCCTTTTCTTTTCTTCGCTTCTGAAAACACGACTAAATTAAAATCTCTTCTCTGGTTCTTTACCCGACATCTTTATAGTTCTCATCGAGGCCTGCGATATATCGCAGAGCGCGAAACCGACGGATCTAGCGCGCTAATATTCGAACATGCATCTCCTCCTTGTGACATCGTACGTGTATGGAGCAACGACGCATCGTTTCGCTTCCTCGTCGAAGAAGTGGATCGAACGTCGTCGTTTTAGCTCGCGAAAGATCCGTACGAACACGAATCCAACATTAACGAAGAATAAAAAAAGAGAATAGAGAGGTGTTGGCGCGAATTGCATCGATGCCGATGACGAAAACGATCAGTTGGAGGGCGTCGTGCGCGTTGCAGGGGCGTGGAATCGAAAAAGGCGAGCAGGGAGCAGGTTCACGGACCTTCCGCGATTCAAGGAAGCGGCTGGAATTCGTGGCGCCGCCGTTTGCTTCTCTTTTCGTCGGTGAAAAAGAGGGTCAACCGACTCGAACCGAGCTCGGCGAGCTACCTAGTTTGGCTCGTGAGAAACAATCATCGTCTCCCGGGCCGCTTCTAGTCTTTTCTCTTTCTTCAACAGGGACCACCAGAGCCGGCCAGACGACGAAGGACGATGGTCCTTGCTTTTTGCCATCCCCGCTTGTAATAACAACCGACTGGCAGCGTCCAGAAGGGGATTTAAACGTGTCTTGCGATCTCGTCGTGTTCGACGCCCCCTTCTTCCTCTTCTTCTTCTTCGTCGTCGTCGTCGTTTTCTTCTTCTTCTTCTTCTTCGCATTCTTATTGCTTTTGTTTCTCTTGGTTCCCACTCTTCCTCTCTTTCTCGCTCGCTCTTTCGTTTCTTTCGATTTCTCGATTTTCCAGCGAGACTCGAGCGATCCTTGTCGTTTTAAAACAGCTCTGTTCTTCGCGGACATCGATCCCCGTCTCTACTTTCATTCGTATAACTGATTCGTATAATTGATAGCATTTTGCGGAGATTTTTGCAAGTTACTCGAGTTTCGTACAACGTATTCTTCCGTCTTCAAAGATAAGATCCCCTTTTATACAAAGAGTCTCGATACAGACACGACGATTCGATCGGAGATTTTTATCCACGGTTTTCTCAAATCGAAGGTTGTATCACTTGCTGCTACGTAATTTATTCTATTGGCTCTTAACAGACCCATGTGGTCAGCGACGATCATCGCACGACTATTCCGTTTACGCGTCGTTCGTCGTTATTCAACGTGATGGCGATAAATTTGTCGAGATTGTACAATGCATCGTTATTTATACATATTTGCAAGGTTCCGCTTATGATTAACGACGATAAGAAGACGAAGCAAAAATTTAGTGGCGAGGAGGACTGTTTTACGATCGTGTAGCTCGTTATTTCGAATTTTCTCCGAAGGCTCTCCTCCATCCTTAATTTTCTCCTACTATTTGTACTTGCTATAGAAAAATGTCTCTCACAAAATGCGAAATAAACGAACCGACGCCTTCGTTAAGACACGTAACGCGTTAAAAATTTCCTGCGAATTAATGAGAAAAAAAAATCAATTTTGCTCCCTCCTTCATTTATCTCGCTACGCTCGTAATCACGAAGGTAGAAGTCATTTCTCAAGCGGCAAAAATAACACGGAACAGTTAATTAAGATTAAATATCCAACGTGTTACGCTATACCTAATCCTTAGATTTCCGAAGATTTATGCGATTTTTGCGAAATATGTAAGATTCGAAAATTCTACCGAGTGTGCATACAATAGGCGAAAATATACGCAATGTTCATAGCAGAAAGAAATTTCTATTTAAATTGGTAAAAGTATAAAATCGCATAAATATCGGCGATCCGCTGATCGCGTTTCTCCCCCGTCTGATCTTCTATCGTAGAGACAAAAAAATCTAACAACGGTTATTTCGGTCAGCTGTAAACGTCGAGAGGTTGGTCGGATCGACGATTAAAGAAAATAAAACGAAAATAAGACAAGGAATCACCCTTGTACGTTCGTTACGTCATCTCTATGTCCATTCTACCTTCGATCCGTAATTGCACGCTCGGCCATAATCCATTAAAACGAGACGCAACGAAAAGAAATTAAAGAGGCAGAAAGAAAGAAGAAGAGAACGAGAGGAAGAAAAAAAACGGAACGCATAGAATCGACTCAAAGTAGTTACGCGATGGTTTCCGCCGGGTGCATTATTCACCATGCACCGGCATATTCATTAACGCGTGAGTTAACGATGCACGTTCCCGATTGTTTATGATGCCATGGCACGGTTCTAACGAGGCTAACAATGAAGGTCCGCGCGTAAAAATTGCATTTTAAAGAATATCGCCAGGCGATTATAATTTCTAATAAACGCCTAAACGCCGTCTGCCCGGCAAATTCCGCGGATATCGCCGTGCTTTTTCTTTCCCGTATTATTCGTACTAAGCAGACCTTGATAAAATTGAACGTTCGAATAAACAAAACGAAATTGAGAAATCTCGCGACACGAAGTGTATATATAGGAACGTCACGAAGTTATACTTTCGCCTATAGATAGGGTGAGAAAAGAATCGCAATCAACGCTTAATTAAAATGATAATGGCCTGTTTTAACGAACGAATACTAGCGGCTCGTACTATGCACTTCCGCCACGATGTTGCGTTTAAAATGCGCGAACATCGAATTAAATCGCTTACTACGGAGAAAAGAGAAGAAAAACGAAAGAAAAAGCCAAACTGGCGTTAATATTATCGTACTTTTAAAATATTCGAATATTTGATAAGCAGTCGCGATAAAAAACGACACGCAGATAACGTTTGCTTCGTTCTATATTCATAGATGACGTAGAATATGACTGTTGTGCAAGAATTTATCGGTTTCGTTAATTATCATTAACCAGTTTGCAGCAATTAGAATATTATGGCAAATAGGTATCTGGCGCCGGACAACTTGAAATATCGTTGCACCAATTTCGCGGAATCGGCAAAGTAGGACGAACGAATAATTTTGTGTTCGTAGAGCTCGGTATGTGGCGCAGTTACCTATGAAAAATTTACAATTTTTACGAACGTTTCTCTATGTAGATCGTATCTGGAATTTTTAAACGTACCTTGCGTTCAGCATTTTTACGTAAAAACACTGCGATATCAGGAATAAAGAAGACTTAGATTCGATACAATTTGCCGCGTAAGGTTTCCGTTTGCATCGTCGCTTTGACGATTAAAATTCCAACTTCCGATCGTGTTCTTGACCCATAAACGGTAACTTCCAAGTTGTTAATTTCTCATGCGCTTCTTAATGCGAAATCTATTAACCCAAGTAGCAAGAAGTAGTCAACCTTGTTATATTTAAAATAGTATCCGTTCGCGCAACACGCGCATTGTTCAGAAACATTTAGGCGACGCTTTATACGTACATTTTACTTCTGTTATCTCCACAGAAAATAAGAGACGGTTGTAAAAAACAGACAAGAAGTAATTAAGCGTATTTCAAACAGATAGACAAAATAAACATGGATTTTAATTAACATTTTTAAAGAGGCGTGAGTCACTGGCGACGCATGTTGCTTACCAGGAAAATTTTTACTCTTTCGTTAGTACGCGTCACACGTATGCGCGACATATCGTGTTTTAATTTTCTTCAGGATACATGCATGATATCTTATTTGTTCTGGTTCGAGGTACTGTGTTATAAACAACGACGAGTCATCGCTGGTCTTACGACGCATTGCAATTACAGATCGTTCGATAGAAACTGTAAACGTAAATGATGCGTGGAACAGCTAGCCATACGATACGTCACGTATACAGTAGACTCCCGCATAACGCGAGTTCTTACAACGCGAATTCCTACAACGCGAATTTATATAGCGCGTAACGTATTAACCGCGTTATACGCCAGTCTACTGTATATGCGTGACGAGTAGTTGGCAGCAAGAGGCGATCTAGTCACCGTCCAGCGTTATATGTACGTGCGTGACGCGTTCTAAAAGCCGCTTGGATCGTCCGCTTAGCGTGTTTTGCTATTACGTAATATTTAAAAATATATGTAATACATTATATTTAAAATTTCGAACGTTCGAAACTTGAGCTGTGAACACGCGCGACTATTTCCATAGACGACGGTCGCGAAAGGGTCGAATCAACTTTAACGTCTTCAACATCTAAATGTAAGTTTCACCGTCACACCCTCGCACCTTCTCATCCTATGGAAAAATTCCTAAACGGAAGATTTGCGGATGGAAAATTCCTAAATCAAGCAATTGCCAAAGCCAGAAACCTTAGAACAACCGCAGGCAAACGCACTCGATCCACTCGATCCTCCTACAAGCCTGAATTCGAATTTTGCCCCGTGAACGGGGTTACACGTTGCCAGAGTAAAAAATCATCGTTCGTCATTTACCTTTGTTCCTTCGAATTTTCCACGGTACAGCGGGCACGCATTCGCCATGCACGCTCATCCCACACACATAAATACATATGCAGAGGTCGGTAATCCTGATCGTTTCTCACCTCTGGCGCTGAGGGCGATGAAGGTCTGCGCGTGCCTCCTGACCATCACCGGGTCCCAGGTACGTGGCACCGGCAGTCTGCTCAGGATGTGCATCAGGAAGTCACCGGGTGTTACGGCGGACAATTCCCATTTCAGCTTCGAGACGACCAACTGCTCCCACCTCTGCAACAATCATCCAGACGAGAACGCGGTTTAGACGATCGCATCATCCAATCTCGTTACATTAGCGTTACGTTGGCGGAAGTTTTCTTCTAAGGAATTTTCTACTTCGGGGAATAGGTTTGAAGGGGTTAGACGTGGGTAGTCGGTGGGTGTAATACGGCGATGCGCGAGAACAGATAAAACGACGACTCTCTAAGTTGCATTGCAGATTGGATAGATAGGTTTTTGTTCGGGATTTTTCATGTTCTGCAAATAAATCGTCGGTTTGTGTGTGTAGCATGGATTTAACGTATCGTCACTGGTAGACGCTTTCGCGGAGAGAATCAATTGGACGTTATTCTGCACGAGGTTTCGAATATTCGACCATAGGAGAAAGAGTCGACGATTATTCTGGACGACGTTTTGGATGTTCGTTTATATGAGAAGGAATTAGGAATTTCCTTGTAAATCATGGTACCAGTTTCATATTTTAAAAGTTGAATATGCACGGAGTAATTCGAACGTAAGATGGACGATCGAATTTTAGACAGCAGTTTCCCAGTTTAAAATTACTTTCAGATATTTCGTATCACGTATTAAGATACTTCACGCAACGCGTGATGAGAATACGAGGAATTCCACGTGTTACGCGTTTAATGCGGTGAACATCCTTTACGTTACATGCTGAACATCGTCGATACACCGAACACCCTTCGCATTACACGTTCGATACACCGGGGCATCCTTCGCTTTCCGCGTTTATTCTTGCACTTGCCAATTTGCATATCGGACAGTTTCTAATATCAGTAGCCGTATCGAACGTTTCGCGAGTATCGTGTACGCTATCGCGAGATCCGTTATGTCGAAACGTAATCCAGACGAACGTTAAAGTCGTTCGAACGTGCTATTAGGCGAGAATTTCTTTTTAAACTTGACGTCAAGTTCTAATATCGTTACTTTATTTGTTTATACCTTTAAAATAATTATAGACGCATTAAAGATAAATTCTCGCATGGAAGATCCCGCACGATGGCTTTACACGTTGTATTCTGTTATATATCGATTAGGATTATCTGAACTCGCAAGAATGATTAAATAGGCGATATTATACGCGATACGTTTTCACGACACGAAGCAACATAATAATATCCTTGCAATAATAAACGAGGCAGCACTTTATAGAAACTAGCAGCGAACTCGCTCACATCGCTATGAATCTTATCCAGCCAACCGACTGTTCGAATACCTTCGTAAATCACTGTACACGCTATTAACATTCCAAATTTCAAACAAACTCCAACATTAACGATTCCTCTTCTCCTAACAAGAAAAATTAACTACAAACAGCCGTAAGAGTGAAACGAAAGTGTCTCTGTTATATAAAATCTCGAGAACCGTGAATCAAAAAATATTATACGCATTGAATATTCCCAGTTATCGAGGAATGGCCGATTGAAGTTTGCATGCAAACGGGTAGACGCGTTAGTTGCTCGCCGCGCGTGTATCGTCGTCTCGATCGTAGTAACCGTGCACAGTGTACACGTACCGCTCTCTGTTTCCTTTCCGTTCTCGCGGATGAGCTGCTCGCTCGAGTACGTCGTAGTACCCTCGTTTTCTCTCGACCGTGAAATTACACGGCGGCTATACTACGTGGAGTACTACGCGTCCTTCGGCTTGATTAAAAGTCCATTGAATTCGGTGGGTATATACGCTACTACTCAAGGTTCTGAAAGTCTCTTACGAAACGGCGCGACGTGACGTGTCCGTGCCACGCCGTATGGCTTTCGTACGTTCACCAAATAAAGCGCGATGGCCTCGTGGCATCGCGTTTCTTAATGAATCGTCGTTAGCATCCTCCTGTTAACAATGTCTCTGTTCGATGGTCATGGAATTAATCTTTGATCGACATTAGGAAAGCTATGGCGAAGGTTGGAACGTCGATCGCTGTGACCGACCGTTGCTTCGGATTCAGGAGCATTCGGAGCACGTACTTCGGAGAATCGAGAGAAACGAATTTTTTTGAATTAATCCACTTGCTCGTTCGTTACTTTTTCCATACGGCCATTTGTCGATCTATTAATCAGAGTCTAAATTTCTAAATCTTACCTAAAACATTGATCGAGTTTTTGAATCGACCGCTTTCTAACTACGTCGAATCGATCGTTCGAAACGAAATTCCACAGAGGACCATCGAATTGTATTTTTCAATGAAATAGCCGCGGATATACTGGCGGTACACGTACGAAACGGAAGAAAGTGGCTTTTTTAGTCCGTCACCTGAGCTACTTCTTAGCCGGATACTTTTCCTTAGGCGTGAAATTAAAACTTTAGGAAAATGGAAATAACGTCAGCTGGTTAAGGATTAAAGAATGTTTGAAACTATAAATCATTTTACATATTTTGTGCATGGAAAATAATACCGATAATCAGCACGAGTTAACGGGTTAATTATCGGAGCTTCTTTGGTCTTCCAAGGATTTCTCGGATCTTGCCGGTTTATTTTACGGAAGCTTATCGTCTTCTTGCTCGTTTCGCCTCTTCGATCGACCACTTACACACGAGAAGGCGAAGCTTTATACTCGAGTGCGTGCGTATATGCTCGTAACGCGACACGCAGTGCCAGTGAATGAAACAAAGACGGCGGCGCGCAGTGGTATAGGCGTGATTTTTACGCGGCAGCCAGCCGCGATTCTCAAGTAGCGTCGGAGTCGATAGCTGCATCCACCGTGCAGGCAGTCGACAGCTCCTCCACGCGATGCGACGAAAATCATTCGAACGATGGTACAGGAAGTTTCTTTCGTTCGATAGAATTTGAAATATTATCATCGATACACATACACGTGTACATTATCATCGAATAACGCTTTAAATTTTCTATGTAACTCAATCGTTCTTCGATTCCCCGACGAATAGTTTCATTTTCGTCTCTTTGCTTAGATCAAACGACTAACATTCGATTGCCAAAAAACGAACGACTTATTTTCATAAATTCGCTCGTCGTACAGACACGCGTATCGATCGAGTCATTCGTACAGCGATGTACCGTGCGATAGAACCTCCTAATGACGAAACGTTCGAATAATACAACGCATACGTGCATCGAAGCCTTCCTGTATCGGCTCGTTCGAGTAGTACAACGCTCGCATGGTAGAAACCTGAACAGCGTAGGTTCTACTACGCCATACTCTTTCAAAAAAAGAAGTTGCCCTTCCATACGGAGTGACTGGCCAGCCCCACGACGCGGCGGCGGTCGCTTTCGCGGTGATCGGGAATCGCAGAAGAAAGAGGGTACGCTGCGTAATATCTCGTGGATGGCCGCGTAAGTACATACAGCAGTGGTGTGTCACGGAATGCGTGACGGTGCAACGACGCGATGCGCCGGGGCTACGCACGCCACGGTACGATGCGTACGCGAGCGTAAACGTAACGATTCCGCGGGAGGCCAACGATCCGCTTCAGGGATACCACGTTTTACTATTTATAAAGCAACTCGCCGGTTGCGTTTTCTCGATCGTCGATGATCTCGGTGAGAGCCACGGCACTGCGTAGCGACGACGACGACGACGACGACGACGTTGTACATAGGCGAGACAAGTCGCTGCGCCTCGGTCTTTGGCTGCCTTCGGACGAGCCTCGTATCCTCCTCCTCCTCTTCCTTGTTTCGTTTTATTATTTCCTTTTGGAATATCTGGTGTCGTGGTGCGAGCGTGAGCCCGCGTGTTAGATGATGCAACGTCGCCGCGGTTGCACTTGTGCATTTGCATTTTTCCACGACGGCCATAGCCTAGGAAACCGGGTTCTCACGAGAGGACGAGGTCTGCTTCGTTGGAATGTTAGAGCCCCTCGTTCTTTTTTCTTCCCTTCTCCCTTTACGTCTGTGTACTTGTGTACAGGATGTTTCAAGAAGGTTCGCTAGAAATTTGGGCGCGAGTGGTTCGAGCGGCGGAGGCAGCGTCGCGGAGAGCATTTGATAGAAAATAATTTGGAAGTAAATTGCGGCAGTGATCTTTTTGCTTTCTTCGGTAGAGCAGGTTTCAGGATTTATATTCAAGTCACTGACCGATCTTTGTGCAACACCTGGTATACTTCTACCCTGTCTATCTGGTGCCTCGTCCGATTAAATGGAATCGGATGGCGTTCGATGGAGAGTTGTGGCGCGAAGGGAAACGCGAACGTGTTCGTCATGCTTCCAGGGTAATTTGTTCGAAGATGGCGTTTAGAATCGATGACTCGCTGTGGAGTTGCTGCGCCACTTGAAAATATCTCTCGAGCTAGGACTGACGTTCGATCGTTCGACTCGTGACGCGGTGCAACGTTTATTGTTGTCACTAGGTTGCAGATGGTTATGGAAATTCGTATCGTTATAAACACAGCTAATGCGATCGAACATGACCAATCGTTCATGGCACCTGCTAAACGTTATAAAGAATATTCTACTTCGTATATTTTACACGTCTTATTTTATGCGTATTTTGTACATTTTCGCGCATTTAAACGGCTCATAAATGCATAAAAATTATAACAATAAAACGGACTAATTATCGCTAATGAATTTATCAATTACACATACAACACATACACAAGACGCAGAGACGAGGTAGGCACGTTATTTTTCGTTCGGAAAACGTGCGATTGTTTGATGCTAATGAGTATGAAAAGTGGCGAAAAGGGGAAAAGTAAGGTAAAGGCAAGAAATGCACCGAGCGAGCATATCGAGTGGCCAATATCGCTTTATTATCATTTGGTCGAACTTCCTGTTGGCTTTCTACCGGCTCGATATGCGTTATCGACCACGAAATCGAGAGAGAAAGTCGACACCGAGCTTGAAACAGAAAGAAGAAGGAGCACGCTGTGAGACGTGGAATATTCGAGTTCTACGCATATGGTATGTCCACAGGTGCAAATGGCTGTTGTAATAAACGTGTACAGTGGAAACAGGAACGTAACCTCGATTAAAAGGACCATACATCGAACAACAAAGAAGAAGAATATCGTTGGATCGAGCGATCGTCGATTCTATA